CCCACGTGAGGGCCCTCCGGTCCCGGCTCGCTGTCCCCCGGGCTGGCACGGACCGCCCTGCCCCCCAAGAGTCGGTTGAGGGCAGCAAAGTTGGGGCAGGTGGCAGCCCCTGCTGTGGCGCCACCCCTGGTAGCTGTGGCGCCACCCCTGGTAGCCCTGGCGTTCGCCTGACGCAGCTGCTTGACTTTCAGGCACACCTGCTCCCGGGTGCGCCTGTGTCCCTTTCGGACCATGGCGGCTGCTATGCGGCCATAGACAGCCGCGTTCCTCCTCCTAGTGCGGAGATCATGGACGTTGGGGGCCTGCCCCCAAACCTCAATGAGGTCCATGACCTCCACACTAGTCCAGGAGGGTGCACGCCATCTACGGCCCCTGGATGGCCCCTGGGTGCTGGGGGACTGGGCAGGGGACGGCTCGCTGGCACTGGCGCCCTGGCTCATCCTGGGGCCACTGGTTCGGGGCACAGACTCCTGGCAGGGCTGGCTGTGTCAAGTGCCGTCTGGCCACAGTCTACCCCTTTAAGGGCCTGGGGCTGGGGGAGAGGAGAGGAGTTTTCCTGGTTGTGCCCAGAGTGGCCACCAGGGAAAGCTGGGAAGGGCTAGCCTCCCATTAGTTCGAATTAAGTGGCTACACAGCCCTTAATTCGAACTAGTTAATTCGAACTACGCGTTAGTCCTCATAGAATGAGGTTTACCTAGTTCGAATTAAGCGCTCCGCTAGTTCGAATTAAGTTCGAACTAGCGGATCGCGTGTGTAGCGCCTATCAAAGTTAATCCGAACTAACAGCTGTTAGTTCGAATTAACTTTGTAGTGTAGACATACCCTCCGATTGGTGCACTTTGGCTAGTTCCACTAGCTTCAGTGGAACTAATCAGTACGTAGTGTTAAATATGTGCATTTGCCTTTGCAGTGTCAGGGTTTTGTTGCCAACAGGCAATCTATATATTTTAGACTGTGTGTCTCTGTGCATCTGTTTGCCCATTTCTTCAAGAACTCCCACTAAACGGTAAGAGCTAGAACCACCAAATTTAGGAGGCAGCTTCCTCTTACCCTATGTTAAAACAAGGTCAGGGTTTGGTTGTGCCTGGAAAACAGGAAGTGCCAGGAATGGGACTGTTTCCCATAATGTGGAGGGGGGGGAGCAGAGAGAGGAGGAATGCAAAAAGGAGGGGCAAGAGATGGGAAGGATACGATATTGAGAGTGGCCACTGGGGGCAGCTGCAGCACAGGAGAGTGGCCAGCAGGGCTGGGGCTGTCATCTTGCCTGCAAGCTCACTGGTAAGCAGTCTCCCTACCCCAAACCTGGAGCCTACCCCACCCACGGAGTGGGTGGAACAGTCCTCCGAGCCAGGCCCCTCTCTGGTTGTTGGGGGGGAGGGGTGATGCAGGGGGAGAGTTGGAGGGAGGAAGCCCCCGGAGCCTTCTTCCTCCCCCCCCCAGCAGCCTACAGACCATGGGGGAAGGCAACTGATGGGGGGACCCACTGGCAGGGGAGCACTGCCCCAGCCCCTTGGAAAGAGTTGCTGCCAGAGTAGCACCACTTCCGCTACCATGGGTGACCCCAGTAACCCTCCCAGCCCCCTGCCCTGAGTCCTGCACCTCCCACCTGCCTTGACTTCAGCATCCCTTCTCCATTATCTGAGCTCCCCCCCACATCCCAGCCCTTTGCTTTAAGCCACCTACCCCTTCTCACCACCTCACTCCAGCCTTCATTTCTGAAAAATACAATCAATGAAATACATTTATTTTTCATTTATTTTTTCAAAAAGGAAACTCAGTTGCAGATACGAGCAATGCTGGGGACATCTGCTAGTAACTAAATAAAGCAGCTTGGGCTTCCCTACTACCTCCAATCTTTACCTAAATTATGTCATTGTAGATTTCTACAGTTCTACCAGTTACTGAATTTTGAAGCCAGTCTCCTTGCTAGCAGCAGTTAGGCTCCTATTTTGTTATCAGATGGGTATAATTAGAATTGCATTGTTCAACTGGGTTCAGATTTCTTTTTGATTGCTGTAAGCAGGATTTGAATTGTACCACCATAAGTCAATTCTTCAGTCAAAAATGAAATTTGTTACCTTAAATAATCCAAATTGCCATATACTACACTTTGACAATATAGAACCACTTTATGAATGAAGGCTGGGATTATAATCTTTGGGTTTCTATTTCTGCTCATACTCTTTTTGTATTTCTTTTGTATTTTCCTGTAAATTTGTATTTTTACATGTTTATTGTAATGGTGGTTGGCTGAACAGGAATTGTTTCTCATAACCACTGAAATAAGCACCCATTTTAAAAAAGCCAAACAATTTTACAATCTCTTTAATTGTTCACATTCTACATACAAGATAGTTCTACCTGTTACCTACATTCTAGATAATATTTAGTCCTTCCATGAGTGCAGGGGCTGGAGTAGATGATTTCTCGAGGCTGCTTCTAGTTCTACACTTCTATGATTCTGTGTCTACTAGGATAAATTCAGAAGTATGGCATAAGATAGGATCCCTCAGAGACAGTAATTATCACAACTGATATCTGAATTGGTTTAAGTTGTGTGCTGAGGAGATAGAAGGAGTAAGTGAAAGTAGGATGAGAACAACCCACTTAAAGTAGCCCTATGTTATTTAAAACCAGCCCTGATGCTTTCAGTCACCAGTAGTTTGAGGTAAGTAGAAACTTTAAGGTGGTCTTTTAATGAATCACATCACACCTCAGTTTAGCCCCCTGAGTCTGGAGGAATCTAAGACCTTACTTACATGAGAGTTGCACTAGTTAACTAAACTGATTTAATTAGGTGAAGGCAGAGCAAAAGGCTATATGAACAGTCTTATTTGGGTTAAACTCAGGTTTATTTTAAGTTACCATAAGTCAATTATGAATTCTTAAATCTAACTCTCCCCCCGCTCCCTAAAAAAAGGCGAGGGGGAATTGCTCCAATTGAACACAATCAGTTAAACTGATTTTTCATTAACATAGTGCAACTTTCTTATGTAGACAAGACCAAAGTCTAGAAAGAGTTTCCTAGGGTAGCTAAGCACATAGATAATATAGTTTATATGAGGGGAGACTGGAAGAAATTCCAAGCTGAATCAATTTGGATGCCTTGTAGCTTAGCTTCTGAATCTGTGCCACTAAGTAACCTCAAACAGTTTAATTTCCTTGATGCTACTAAAAAGAATAGAGATCATAAAGAGACAGTGAGCTGGGCTGGAATTTACATTGGGGAGTACAGAGGCAGAAAGCATAACATAAAGGCTATTTAAAGGAACCTTGCCAGTTCTTCAAAATGTTTGAGCTGTTTTATTTATCAATTGTTTTGTTTTTGTTTTAATCAAAGACAAGTATATGGAATTATGATGAAAAAGTTTAACATGGTGAGTATGCCCTATGTAGGGTGGTATTAAATGCTGCCTTTTGTTTTCTTCCACAGTAAAACCAACAGTTATTGATGTTGACATTTATGTTAACAGCATTGGCCCAGTATCATCAATAAATATGGTAAGTGTCTTGCTAACAATGGTTTTATCTGGGCTCCTTGCCTTGGCATCAATACTGCTTTTGAAGGGAGTGTGGGGTGAGAGATGTACCACTAGGCTAACATGTTTTGATGGAAAGTAGTGAAAAATAAGTCAGCAGAAATAGTTCTATTTTTCAGACAATTCGTATGTGCCTTTCCTGGGAGAAATAAATAAACCCAGCAGTATCATGCTGGGTGCTGCCTGTCATGAAATGTTGATATATCTTGGATGATAAAATTCTGTTCAGAAGGACAGGTATAAAACAAACCTGTTTTCAGGAAAATGTTCCAAATGATGCTCAAATCATATGGTTTAGGAATATAGGAAATTAAATTGAAACAGTTCTATGTAAAATTAATCCATGTTCATCTTAGAAATAAGCTAGGTATTCACAATATATGTCCCTGCGCAGAACTATACACAGGTAGTCCCCGAGTTACGCGGATCCGACTTACATCGGATCCGCAGTTACGAATGGGGTTTTTCTCGCCCCGGAGGACGGGAGCGGCGGGATGCCCAGATGTGCCGCGGTCCTGCCGCCCGCGTTCTCCGGGGCGAGAAAAGCTGCTCCACATCTCCCTGGTCTGCTGGGGGGGGAGCCCCCCCCAGCAGACCAGGGAGACGCTGAGCAAAGCCGCGGAGCACACGGGCAGCGGGACAGCCCAGATGCGCCGCGGCTGTCCCGCTGCCCACGTGCTCTGCGGCCTTGCCTCCCCTCCC